CTAAAACAGTTTCGAAGTCTCCGTCATCTTCTTCCTCTTTGAATGACGATGAGTCCTCGAAGACCATCTCTGTCAACCTCTTCATCTATAATTCAAATGGCTTGGTTCAATCCAAACGGCTCGGTTCAAAAGGAAACGAACGAAAAACTCACCTAGGCAATACACTAAACACTTGCACTATGGTGGTGATGCACCGGCCAGCGTGGGAGTGACCTGCAACGGCGCGCAAGCAAGGTCAGATGCGGCGGCCGCTAAAGAGGAAGAAAATAAGAAGCAATCCGATGAGTCAGTAATGGTGACGGCGGCGGCATTTCACCTTGATTCCGGCCGCGGTGACGAGGGTGGAACGGGTTCGGCGTCGTACAGAAGAGTGGCGAGGGCCAAGGGAGGCAACGAAGTAGCGGCGGGGCCAACGGGCGGTCGCCGACGAAGAGGCAGCGGTGGAGGGAGAGGCGAGAGTTTTTCCTCCGAGCGGTAGCGTCAGAGTAAATTTAGGGACGGGATAGGCGCGGGAGGATAAATTATCTTCCGCTATTCGGTTTAGGGATCGGTTAGGTGCCGGCTAAAGGAGAAAAACCGAAATTATCCTCCTCTAACACCGAATAGGGGATCAGTTAGAAATGCCCTACACGTGCATGTTTTCGTTAATTAGCATGAATTGGTGCATCATGCCTACATGTGACGTGTATATCTGCACAACCATTCCGATTAAGTGAATGTTTTCTCACTTTTTTGACTAGATGATGGTACAGGTTGCATTCCGTAATTTTATATTAAGACATGTAATCCATGTTAGTTTGAAACAAAAAACATGTAGTTGGATAGAAAAATCAGATACTAAAAAAGAACCATGTTCACACATACTATAATTTTAACTATTCTCATAAAAATCCAAATTATTTTAGTGCCGTTAGAAATGACTAGCAAAAGGACCTGGCCCGTGCATTGTTACAGGTGAAAAAAATAAATCATAATCTCCAAGGACCATGATCACATTTTACTGCATCACCGAGATACATTATCACTCTCAATTCCATGAAATCACGAACATTTTTTAAACTCGTGAACATATTTGAAATCATGAACATTTTTCAATTCATGTACACTTTTACAAATTTTCGACCATTTTCTAAAATCAAGCACATTTTTGAATTTGTGAACATTTTATACTATTTGCAAACATTTTCTTAAAATTGTGAACATTTTGTTAACATTTTTTCTTGAATCGGCGAACATTTTTAGAATCGACAAACATTGTTTTGGAAATTGGTGGAACAAAATTTAAAATTCATGAAATTTTTTTGATTTAACGAACATTGTTTTAAATGCATGATCATTTTTTGAATCAGCGGACATTTTATGAATGAATAAACTATTTTGTAAGTCATGAAGTTTTAGAATTTTTAGGATATTTTTCCATTCATGAACTTATTTTGAATTGGTAAAATTATGTTCAATTTCATTAAAATTTTCTAATACATGAACTTAAAAAATAATGAATATTTTTTATTCCCCAGACATTTGTTTTCAAAATTTTGAATATTTTTTGAATAAGCAAACATTTTTTTATAAAATCGTGAATATTATTTGAATCAACAAACATTTTATGATTTACTAAACATTTTATTTTAAAATTATCATTTTCTAATTTTTGAATTTTTTGGAACTCCCACATTATTTAAATTAGAAAAATAGAAAATAGAAAAGAAAAAAACTTTAAAATAGGCCGCCTGGACATGGGCTTCCCCGAACAGAAGTGATGTGTCTTCTCCCAGCGTGCAAAACGCAATACAGGAGGTCCCTACTGCATGGGCCGGCCCAGGTTGGGGATTCCCCTGTGTGAAACGTTTTGTTATCACTTATAGGTGGCATTGATGGGTAATATTTTGCAAATTTGAGGAAAATTTCCATGACGTACCGCAAGAAGAAATAGCCCATTTATTATTATTAGGTATAAATAGATTGCATGAAATGCTTCTCAACACTAATTTAGAATTCCTGTCGAACAACAAGGTTTGAACAAACTCAAAAGAAATAAGATATCTAGGAGATAATATCCGTCTACACAAATTTTGTACCATATATAGATACTTGGGAGAAAATACCATTTTACACAGTTTAAGATTTGGTACTAATATGTTTCTTTCCATCTATATTGATCCTTACCATTTATTTCCAAATAACTAGTGGAACCTGTCAAAGTGGAAACACAATATTAGTGCAGTCTTTTGAACCGAGCCTTCGTGGTTTATAAAGTTTTTGCAAAACAAGTTCTATACAACTGAAGTTAAGACAAGTTCTATAGATCTAGAAATTAGACACATGATATCGTTGAACTTGTCCCTTTCAAGTTGTACTATAAGAGTATATTTGTTATGTGCGGATTTGCCATGGACCATGAAGTTTACAAACGGGACCCGGCCCACTAGTTCTTTAGTCATAGATTGAGGCGTTAAGTTTTATATCTCTGAAGTATATCATAAAATTGGTAAGAGTATACATGTCTAAAAGACAACTTTCGAGGGATAAACCCTAAATCCTAAATCATAAACCCTAACCTCTAAAAAACCTAAGCCCTAAACCTTAAACTCTAAACACTAAACCCTTAAAATTCCAAACCCTAAAGGCTAGACCTTATACCCTAAACCCTAGACTAAACAAAGAACCCTTACCTAAACCCTCAACCCCAATCCTAAAACCCTAAATCCTTACCCAAGCCCTAAGCCTTAAACCCTAAAAAGCCTAATCATAAACCCTTGACACTAAAAGATAACCAATATCAAAGAAGAACATATAGTGTCAATCAGTCTTACATGGATAATTGTAGAAAATAGAAGTTTGCAACACCAATGTATTAAAAAGTATGACGGTTGAAGAATTAAACAAGACTAAAGAAGAGCATATACTATAAAGTAGTCTTATTTATAACCCTAAAAATGCTAAACCGTAAATCTTAACCAAAATCCATAAGCCCTAATCCCTAACTCGAATGTATTAAAAGTGCCACTTGCTAATAGTTAGGTAAAAATTCAAGAAATTAATGTAGGTAAGAACAACTTTTAGCACAATATGGTGCTATAGCAAATTCTGGCGAGCACCTCAAAGATAAGAGAAACCCTAAATCAATACTTCAAAATCAATGGAACCAAGTTTTCAGTTGATGAACTTAGGTTTGACCAACTTTGGCAGATCATAAAATTACGACAAAGCAAGTTCTGTAAGCCTGAACTTAGGACGTGTTTTATCGATCTAGAAGTTTGACTTTGGGAATTTTACAATACATGATAGCTTTGGTAAGACTATAAGTGTGGAGTCGACATGATTATGACATAAGTGCTACTATGGGGATCCAAAACAATTAAATTTGGTGTATCATTGTTCATGAATAAATATTATCTATATCTATATCTATATCTATATCTATATCTATACTACTTATAGTGTACCAGTTTTGAATTGGGCATGATCATCAATCCTAGCCATTCGTGTGCTAAATCCAACGACTGAAAAGAGTGGGATTCGCAGTGAACAGTACATCGTTGCTCCATCCACAATGTTCCAGAACGATCCCCTCATCCTTCTCAAAATAAGTGGCCTATACTGATTCCTCTTGGCCCATGTTGCCGTTTGAGGACGTGTTGAGCCCAAAAAAGATGGTTTCGTTGAGGAAAGATACAGTAAAGTTATACTCTCTCCGTCCCACAATATAAAACATTTTTGGCAACCAATTTTATGAATTATTTTCTTTCTTAACAAATTGCGGGGATTACATATATTAACTCCTACTATTTTATAATGTATTTTCTTTCTGCATCCGTACATAAACAATATTTTCTTTTTGCCTTGAATCTATGGGCAAGTCTATGTTTTTTTTCTACCAAAAAATCACTCCATAATAATGTTAAAACGTGCGTTGCATGTGCATACATACTAGCATTATAGTAGAAGACCATATTTCGAAGGATGCATTATGTTCCGATGGTAGCGAGCGCGATGCACACTCGACATACCACGAGGAGTGTAGGTACATCACGAACATATCATGGGTGCGGTTTCACGATAGTGAGAGGAATTGCACGGTCGGAAACTCTTGTTCAACAAGTTTAACATATGAGAAACTCTGTTTTCGCTTAGTTTTTTTTACCGTAAAGCTTAGTTCTAACCGAGATTTTGCAATTTAGAAAATGGGGAAAACTTATTTTTTTGTTATACAAAATTGGGGATACTTCTAAACACATTTTACATTGAAGAATTTAATCTTACCAACTTAAATAACGAAAAAGTTATATCTATGTGATAGATTTGACCAAGTTTTGTAGGTTGGAACTTAGTTCAAACCAAGTTTTGAACCGCATGACTTATTTTGACCAAGTGTTGCAATTTGGAAAAAGTTATAAACTTAAATTTTGTATTATACCTAATTTAGGAATTTTCAAGCTTACCAAGTTTGATGACAAATAACTTGTATCTATGTGACAGATTTGACCAAGTTTTGTAGTACCTCAGGAATTTAGTTCAAACAGAATAATTCTGCCAAATGGCACTCCGGCGCAGTTTCACAATCATGAGAGGAATCGAACGGCCAGAAACTCTATTTTAAGCAAGTTTTACGTATAAGAAACTTATTAATGTTGGCTTAGTTTTTTTTACCATGAAATAAAGTTCTGACCAAGATATGCAATTTTAAAAGTATAAAAATCTTAAATTTTTATTATATATAATTGATGGCATTTTTAACACATTTTATATTGATCAGCAATTTAATTTTAACAACTTTGGTAACGAAGTAGTTATATCTACATGATATTCTTTATCAAGTTTTGTAGGTTGGAACTTTGTTTGAATCAAGTTTTGTAACGCGGAATATTTGACCAAGGGTTGCAATTGTGGAAAAAAAATTGTATTATACATAATTGAGAAATTTTTCAACTTTTCCAAGTTTGATGACAAAAAACTTGTAACTACGTAATAGATTTGACCAAGTTATGTACTCGAGAAACTTAGTTGAAACAGAAAAAATGGCGGCCACGGTCGTGCAAGCACCCTCTAGCGTGTGCCGTCCCACGCAGTCGACCCCCGGCCGATATCCGCGCGCTCCAGCTGCAGGCTCCCCGGACGGCAGCCGGAGAAAGTTGGACACGGCGCCGTTGGATGCTCACGGTGGGCACACTGCAGGAGCACGGCATCAGGGGCCGTCCAAGGCGAGGAGACTGGTGCAGCTCCAGCCCCAGCTCCTGCCAGACGGCACACAGGCGAGAGCAAACTGTTGGTTGCCGGCAAGGATTAGACTGATTTAGCCTAATCGAATTTGTAGGTCTAGCTTGCCGTAGAATCCTGTACATGGACCTGCTTGGGCTAGCTTCGTTCAGATTGATCCAGTCATGTACCCCAGTCAGACTCAGAAACTCGGTGATGTAGCTGCACCCATGTACCAGAGTAAACCATTGTAACAACGTTTTCCCGTTAGTTTCATGATGATGATGTGAAGCCGCGACTTCCTTGAAACCTGTCATCATCTGAAATGACAATAAATACCTCAAAACAGCCCTTCAGGACCAAAAATGTTAAGACTGATGGCAACAGCTATTTGGTTCCTGTGACAGTTCAGTCTTCCTAGGATACAGACAGTTTCTTCCTGGATTGGCAAATGATCAAACAATTGCAAAATACCAAGAAAAGAACAGAAGCATGCGAATGGACCGGTGAGAAGAACATAGGCTTTAATAAACTTATTCATTAAAACGAAGGTTCATTACATCATGCCCGCACATCAACATAATTTAACTGAAATAAAGCAAGGGGGCACTTCAAGTCTTGACACAACCCCAGCAGAAAGATACGTGAAAGTAAAATGCATGTCCCAGTTACAGGAAAGAATAAGCAACCACCAAACCTGATTATATGTTACATCAACACAAAGCACAAAATTACACATTCAGATGTCTACACCTGCCAGTTCAACCACAGATTCAACAACACAAACTTCTATAATCCAATTACCAATGTGAATTTTCCTAAGATGTAAAATGCAAAACATGCCATGGAACCTCAAATTTACCATTGACAGTAATTGTAAATCACTGAAGAGAGAAAAATACCTCATGGCATACTTGAGCAACATGTATAATCCCAAATCTCCTATTGTGAAGGAGAAGAAATGATTTAGGGTTAGTAAGCATGTGTATGTTCAAAAACATCACAAAAAAGATAATCTACCTAACAAAAATTACGCAGGTGCAGTCATCTCGAATTTCAACTTATTCAGGACAGAAGTTCTATTTTTTATTCCTAAAAAGGAAGTTCTATTAATCTATTTTCAAAACCTTGTTTGTCTATGTTATATGAGAAGAATATGGAACAAAATGTAAAAGATAGACAATCTCAAAGGAGCCATGGATCATTTTTTTTCTGTTGGCATTAAGTGTAGCCTCAGTGGTCAGGCATTCTCTACAGAAGTTGTTGTCATGGTTTCACTTGTCCTGAAGATGAATTTGGTTTTTCTATCTCGTTTATTTATGATTTCCTGCCAGGAAATCCTCTAGTTGCCTTTGTGGATCAGCATCGTGCTGACACACTGTGTGACCCATCTCTGCATTTTGTGACCCATCCAAGGTAATGATAGGTAAGCTTGCCCAGTTTGTTTTCTGTTATGTTGAATGTAAATAATCAACATGGCCTATCAATTTGGTAAGTAATTGTGCATATATAGCATGCAGCTGATGGCGTTGCAACATGAGCTCGCATGTACAACTACAGTGCTGAAAGTGAAGACTTCAAAACTCAAGGTATGATGAGCGAATTGTTCTAGTGTTTCAAAGGCGCATATCAACAAACAGCCTGAACACGCACCACAAAAACATGACCAAGCAGCACGTCCTGGCGCCCAAACTGCAGCAGGTTCAACACCATGGGCAAACATCCATAGTAGGCATGAACTAGAACCACACGAGCAGACGAACGGATGCGGGAAGTGCAGGGACGCTGGATGGTTAAGTGGGAGGAAACAGCGGCAGAAGGGGAATATGAGAACAGAACTGCAGGGAAAAGGGAAGCTCAGAGCTTCAGTGGCAGCATGAGCACAAGATACTGAAGCGAGGCGGAGAGGAGAGCATACCTCAGGGTCGACGACCAGCCAGGCAAGAACACAACGAGCCGAGCATGCAGACTGACAGATCCACCTGCTCATGACCAAGAAGAAAGAACAGGTGTGAGAAACCAAATGCAAAACTGAAGAACAGTGAAGAAATCCGACAGGCAAATACCTTAGGCCACACCATGGAGCCACCAAACCCAGACCTACTACATGGAGGCCTCGACAGCAAAACTGACCAACCGTTAAATAAGCAGAGAACTATAGTCGATGACCTACAAAGAGCTGCTGAATAATCATACAACTGTGCAAGATGAATGGTACTTTGCTAGTTTACTTTAGCCAGCTCACAGAAGACCTGGATGGAGCAACTAATGAGTTGGTTGCAGAGGCATGGTTCAGAAAATATTTGAGTTATCACATTGCATTGATGCCCTCAACTGTGTGTACATACTTTGAGACCATACTTTATGCTACATATATATCGTACTCGGCTACATCTCAGTCTTGGCAGCAAAGCCAATTGTATAACCCAATGACTGGAGAAGAGCATTGATGAAACCAGACAAAGGAAGATATCAACGTTCTCGGCAAGGTGTACTCTTACCATAGAGAAACCACTTACCATATGTCTGCACATCAGTTGGAGCCTGATCAGTATGAGAACTCGGTGCGTGGGCTTCTGAAGTTTAAGCTCAAATTTTCATGAACATGGTGGGCAAGGGTCAGTGCATGTACAATATATCGCTGACTTGGTGCTGTGCGCTGCCAAGATGTTCAGTGAGTTTCTTCCAACCTTGCTGCATACCTTAATCGAGAAAATATAATTCGGAACAGAAGCATGCGAATGGAGCCGTGAGGAGAACATATATGCTTTAATAAACTTATTCATTAAAACAAAAGTTCATTACATCATGCCCGCACATCAACATAATTTTACTGAAATAAAGCAAGAGGGCACATCAAGTCTTGACACAACCCCAGCAGAAACAGACAATAAGACTGAAAAATAAACAGACTAACACCAGCTAACCGGCCATCAAACCAGACACACTTCCTTTCCAGTGGTACAAATCCTATTTGGCACCAAAGCAGAGCCCATCCTTGTGGTATGCTGAAAGATTGCTGCTTTTGTTGTCCAGAGATTAGAATACAACTGAATCCCCATGTATAAATGTTTATTTCCCCTGTGTATAAGCAGATAAACCACAATCAGGTCTACTAGGAAAGATGTTACATGTGCATAAAAGTACAAGTGTTCTAGCCACCATAAGAATGCATTAATACGAGCAACATAATATTTGACGAAAAGAAAATGCATACCTTTCTCTTTTCAGTTCTCGGTGACATAGAGGCTCATGAGGTACATGAAGCAGGATATGCCGACTAACAGGACTAGCTTTTCTATAATCCACAAGGTATTGGTACGAGTTCCTTTTTTCCCGAGGAAGTTCTTCTTCTGTTCACCATCCATCAACTCAACTGGGGGAGTATTTTTCTCTTGTGCCCGACGGAGGATATTGAGTTTGAAATCAGCAATCAGTTGATCCTGTAGACTCTCAGGTAGATGCGGGTACACTTTGTTCATCAGCTCTGCAAAAGCTTCCTTAACTCTAGTGTCAGTAATCAGATCATCAGTCTTAAGAGCTTGTGCACACTTCACTGCCTCAGCCAACACTTTGGTTAAATTCTCTGGATTATCTCTAAAAGGAAAAAGAACAAACAGTCAGCTTCCTTAACATATTTGTAGGCTCAAAAAAGAAAAGAAAGAAACATGGAGGCTTGGTTCCTCAAATCGGGCAAAGTTATGAAGAAGTGATTGGATCAGTAAACCCAATCACAGCACAAAAGACCTATACAGATGAAGCAACCGCGGATCAGAAAACCTGGGCCTCAGAGCTACTCCAGGATCAACTGACGGCTGACGAGTGGACGAATCAGGAGGCGAGCTATTCCCTATATAGATTATGCAACCAACCATCAAGACCTATATACATCAGGAGTACCTTCTTATTGATGGCTGACGAGTGGACGAATCACCATGAGACGCCGGCGGCTTGTGGATGGAGGCGAGCGCGTTGTCGCGTGAGGCCGGGCCATCGGAGAGGCTCGGCGGCGGCGGCGGCGGCGGCGGCATGGTTGACTCGGGAGGATTGAGGGAGGAATTGTGCGAGATGAGGGATTTGGGGAACGAACACGGACCGCCCGCCCTGTGTGTGTGTCATGGACGGTCTCCTAGTGCTTTGGGCTCTTTAACTATGGCCCGCGGGCAGCACATTATGGGCCTGGTGGAGGACCAAACATTTTTTCTAATAATGTGAAAATATAAGATGAAAACATATTTTTTAGTAGATGACCCGTTTGTTATCCCTGTAAATTTGAAAACTCAGTAATAAATTAAAGCCTTTTAACCCTACAGAACTAAACATTTTTCTAATGTGAACATTTTATAATATGCGATGAACATATTTTTAAGTACACTGAACTATTTTTAAACTCATACTGAACAACTTTTACAAATGTATATTTTCAAATAGCGTTTATAAAATTCATGTATAATTTTATAAATTCCTCTCATTTTACAAAAATTGTAAAAACAAACTGAAATTCAGAAAACAATTGAATATCTAACACTTTTTAAAATGTGTGAATGGTTTTAAAATTTTAGAACTCCTGTCTGAATTCCGAGAATATTTTTTGACTTCGCGAATTTTATTTGAAATCCAAATGTTTTTTTTAAATAATGAAAAATTAAACAGAAGAGGAAAGGAAGCGACAAAAGTTGGCCCCAGAATTAGCCGGCCAATGGCCGTCGCTTCCTTTTTTTTCAAATTTGTAACTATTTTTCAAATTCATACACAAATAAATTTCATGAATTCAATAGGTATTACGAATTCTGCAGGCACCTAGAGCGCCTCGCTTTACCTCCCCATGTAAATGAGCTAGGCCCGATGCGGGACAACACATGCCGCCACACTTTTCTTTATATTTCAATAAAAAAATACATGCCAAAACTTACTTTACGTAAAGTTTCAAAATTCTACAACTCGTTAAAAAATGTGAATGCAGTGTTCAAACAATGTTCGTGACATTTAGAAAATGTTCCCACGTTTCACAAAAATCCACGTGAAATTTTTAAGAATTGTTTATACAATGTAGAAATGTTCGCATAATTCAAAAAATTGTTTCACACCATTCAAAAGGATGTACGGGGACCTTCAAAAAGATGTTCATGACTTTCAAAAAAATTGTTCTTGGCATTTTTTTGCCAAGGAAAGTTCACGTTGTTGAAAAGGATGTTTTATATCATTCAAAAAATGTTCGACGTCTACTTGAAAAAATGTTCAGCACATATTGAAAACATTATATATAAAAATGTTATAATGTGTTTGAAAAACGTTAAACGTATATATAAAAAGTGTTCCT